GATGGGTGGACTTCAACTCCCAGAATTCCCCAGCCAGCATGGCTGGCTGGGGAATTCTGAGTATTGAAGTCCACGCATCTTAAAGTTGTCCAAGTGGAGAAACAGTGGTTTAGAGCCTAACATATACAAAATGTAACTTTTAAGAGGTCCATGCGTTTTCCTATGTTCACCTGGCTTCCTGGCTGTGGCGTCTCGCGTGCATTTCCTCAGGAAAACATCACCGTTCCATGCCAACAAAAAAGTGTGCATGGGATTGGTGGTGCGTCAAAAGGAGTGCCGTTTGGAATAGCCGTTTTGCCGTGAGCCCTTGGCACAGAGGATAACAGGTTAATAAAAAAAATACAGGCATAGGGCAGAGAGAAAAAAGATGCCTGCTTCCCTTTTTAATACCCTTGATACACTGGGGTGGAGGGATCTACTCTGAACGTGTGCAGATTCATCGGCCAGGGTGTTGTTTGAGTATGTCCCAAACGCCTTACCTTTCGGGCAGAAATATTTGTTCACGGGGGCAGTACCTGGGGATCAGGCTTCCCAAGACCGCTTTTGCAAGAATGTCCATCTGTGAAAAAGTGCTCGTAGTTGGTGGCAAGGCTCTTGCGTTTGGGGAGGGCCGCAAATCCCTTCATTTCCTGAAGAACCGTGGGCAGTGAGCCTTTCTGGGGTTGGTCTGGCTTTCGCTTGGCACAGTTCATTGGACTAACTATGGTTCACATTTGGCCGGGTGATTCTGTGAGCAGAAGTCCAGATCCACTGGATAGATTCTCCTCTTAAAATCTGGGAGCCGAGAGGACACCCAGCAAAGGAGTCTGAAATCTTGGTTCCCTTCCCCAATGAAATCCAGTCAAGAGCACCAGTATTAGGGTTGCTTTTATTTATTTTTTTAAGAACAAAATAAAATGGGGGGAAAAAAAACTAGTTAGGGTCCATGGGATCAAAGTCTTTGTCATCTCAAGGAGGAAAATCCCCCACAGTCACTTGTGGCAGCAATTCCAGCATGGTGAGATTCAATGCAGGTTGCCCTTTCACAACTCAATATCCAATACAGCAATCCAGAACATTTCAATTCCCTGTTTGGTTGTTTTGAAGAATTTTTTTTCCAGCCCTCGAAATAATTGATAGTTTCTTGAAAGTGCATGGGCAACATCCAGGGACACCCAAAAAGCCACAACTGGCTTTCCAACGGACAAGGCTTAAGATTTTGTACTTGATATGTTTCTCACCCTACGCCCCCGCTTCATCGACTTTCTCCATCTATAGATTGCAAAATCCAGCATTTCATAGCTTGGCATGTTGATTACTTTTAAGCATCAAGTATCCCCCAGTCCTGTAAGGATGCTTCCAAAAATTTCTGTTGGGTTTGCACATTATGCCAAGCCATAAGAGGGAATGTTTAGGCTTAGTGAGTTGTCTGAACCCAGCCACTATGGTTTAATAAACCATGGTTACAAAAACTCCTGCTTAGCACAATGTGTGAATATAAGTTTGAAGATTTATGGAGACTTCAAGAAGGGGGAAGTAGCCAAATAATTATTATGCAACACTGGAGGATAAATCTATAACAGATCTGCAGCTGCGAATGTTTAATAGGTAAGTTGCCTGCGCTGTTAAGAGACCTCAGCTGATCTTAGAGAGCTAAGCCAGCGGAGGACCACTAGAAAAACTCCAGGACTGTAGACTTCTCTGGGAAATTGGAAAAAAAAAAATCCTGAAACAAAAAGCAACTTCCACAGTGGCCAAGAAAAAAAACTACATGTGTGTGTTCATGAAATCACCAGGAATCAAGGTCAGTTTGGAGGGTCTTATTTTACTACTTTTCAGCAATATCTGAATTAGTTTTCTTGACAGAGAGGGAAGAGCCTCTTCAAGCCATTTGATCAAATTTCCTTGAGTTTTCTAGGCAGTTAAAAGCAACTCCATTCTCTATATATTATATAGTCCAGTGTTTCTCAACCTTGACCACTTTAAGACGGGTGGACTTCAACTCCCAGAATTCCCCA